TCACTCATAAATGGGGGCTAAACTATGAGGATGCAAAGGCATCAGAAAGATGCAATGGACTTTGGGGACTCAGGGGAAAAGGATGGGAAGGGGGTGAGGAATAAAAGACTACAAATTGGGTTCAGTGTATACTGCTTAGGTGGATGGGTGCACCAAAATGCTCTACAAATCACCTGAAAAACTTATTCATGGTAACCAAAATACCAGCCTGTTTCGCCAAAGAAGCTGTGGAAATAAAAAAATTAAAAAAAGTATGCTAGAGTAATTTGAACCACCCATTTATCAAAAACTTTAATCTTGACTTATATCTCCTCTCATCACTATTTAAGATTACCTAATTTTCATTTAACATATATTATGGCTTCAATGGACCTCAGGCTATGTACTTTTTGTATGCATTCTGTGTGCGAAGGTGCCTAATAAAACATTCTGTGGTGTGTGTGAGGAGAGATCCCATATGAGCAATTTTGACACAAGAAGGCACAACCTCAGTTAACTAAAAGTCAAGTGACCTTAATCAAGATAAAAGTCTATAAAGAGAAATTTTGTTCTGAGGGAATAATAGAAAGAATTCTCTGACTCGTGAGAAAGAGGTCAATCTCAATAACACTAATATGCACACCAATACACAACAATTGGAAACATGTGTGGATGATAATTCGTAGTTCCAATTATAAGAAGACTTTCTGGAATGTAAAACACAATGGCACAAATTGTAATATTCTTCTATTTCCTCAATTTCTAATTCATATGCCTATAGTTTTCTCAGATGGCGTAAGTATAATAATAATGTACAGTGACACGACTGTCGTCATCCCATTACCTCTCTATAGGTTTCTATTTCCTATACGATGAGTTCAAATTCCTATAAAGTAATTGTGTTAACTCTAGATAAAAGAATTGTTCACTATTGCTTCATTGTCTCTCTTCGAAGAAAATAGTCCGCGCTCGCATTTAGGAACATGTGTCGTGGTACAATATGTCGCCACCATTGTGTAACACTTGTATTGGTATAAGCAAGACATGTCACAATGATATAATGAAAAATGCACTTTACACCACACCGGCGTACAAGCCAATATCTCATCGATCATTATATGTCTGTGATGATACACATGCAAAGTTCAAATACAGCAATATAGAGAATCTTCTCAATACTTCACACATCACTTATTGGAAATGACTAGAGAAAGGACACAGAGTAGCTATCAAATGTTCCCTATAGAAGGTACAATAAAGAAACATAATAAAGCTGGATATAGTGAGTAATGTTACCTGACAACAGGCTTACCTGTGAAGGTGTGTGTAAGACCTTGAAAACTCGTGCCTGATGCTGGACTAGATATAGATAGGTGACCGCACAGTGTATAAAATATAGTGGTATACAACCGCTCATGGGATGAGAAAGCCAAGTTGGGAAGATTTTACTCTCTGAAGACCTTTATTAAAAGGCTACGCACAACTACCATTTTCATAACTCTCCTCTCAATGAAAATCGCCTCGTCAATGTAATCATATGTAATATGGGGGAGAAGAATACTATCCGTACGCTCATATACAAACTAAAATAGTTCTTGTGTGACAAAATTAACACTGTCGAATAGCTCACTGTAAGCAGAATATGATTCAATCGCACAGCGTATTCACAACAGCCACTGAGGAGACCATCAACCTAAGGTCATTGGGCGCTCATCATACTCCAGATGGATTCATGAAATAAAGAAATAGTGTATTAAAGCTTCAATCTAAGACCCTAAACGGTAAAACAATACTAGGTAATCACACCAATTAGAGCGGGAGAATACCTACTTCCATGTGTATCAGCTATGAATTGGGCAGCAGGTATTCGTGAGTAAGACCTCAGAAGCTCAGGCAATCACAGGCATGACGAAATGGAACCTCACATGTCTCATGCGCATGACAACGATAGGCATGCTCCGTACATGTGTGGGGAACGAGATCCACCATAAGTGAAATCGGCGCTACGCTACCTCTCAACTGGCACAGACAGAAAAAAATATTTGCAAACTACCCATCTGACAAGGGATTAATAACCAGAATATGTAAGGAGCTCAAACAACTCAATAAAATATTAATTTTAAAATGGGCAAAAGATCTGAATAGACATTTCTCAAAAGAAGGCATACAAATGGCAAGCAGCTATATGAAAAGGGGTTCAACATCACTGATCATCAAAGAAATGCCACTAAAAACCACAGTGAAATACCATCTTATCCCTGTTAAAATGGTTTTTATCCAAAAGAAAGGCAATAATGTGAGAATGTGGAGAAAGGGGAGCACTCGGTACACACTGTTGGTGGGAATGTAAATTAGTATAGCCACTACAGAGAACAGTATGGAGATTCCTCAAAAAACTAAAATAGAATTACCACAGGATCCAGCAATCCCACTGCTGAGTATATATCTAAAAGAAAGGAAATCAGTATATCGAAGAGATACCTACTCTCCTATGTTTATTTAAAGCAGCACTATTCACAATAGCCAAGATATGGAATCAACCTAAGTGTCCATCAGTGGATGAATGGATTAAAAATGTGGTACATATACACAACCGAGTGCTTTTCAGCCATAAAAAGGATAAAATCCTGTCATTTGCAACAACATGAATGGAATTGGAGGCTATTATGTTAAGTGAAATAAGCCAGGCACAGAAAGACAGATGGTGCCTGTCTGTTTTCATTCGTATGTGGGAACTAAAAACAACAAAACAATTGAACTCATAGAGAGTGGAGTCATGGTTGCCAGAGCCTGGGAAGAGTAGTGGGGATGGAGAGATAAAAGGGGAATGGTTAATGGTTACAAAAATACAGTCAGAAGTAATAAGGTCTGGTGTTCAGTAGCACAATAGAGAGACTATAGTTAACAATGATTTATTGTATATTTTAAAATAACTGAAAGAGTGTGATTAGAATGTTTCTAATACCAATAAATAATAAAGGCTTGAGATGATGGATACCCCAATTACTATGATTTGATCATTACACATTGTATGTATAACAAACAGCACATGTACCCCATGAACATATACAACTATTATATACCCATAATAATGAAAAATAAAAATTAAAAAACATAAAATCTCTCAACACTGAACATTTTAAAAACACAAACAATCCAATTAGTAAAGGGTAAAATGTATGAACAGACTTTTCACTAAATAGAATATACAACCAGATAAGCATATTAAAGATACTCAAAATCATTATTCATGGGGAGGTGCAAATGAGATATTAATAAACAGCTAATAGAATGATTAAAATTAAAGAAAAAACAGTGGTACAATCAAATGTTGGTGAGGGTGCAAAAACGTGGGTAATTCATACATTGTTGGTGGGATTGTCAAACAGTACAGCTATTCTGAAAAATTATTTAGCAATTGCTTTTAAAACTATAAGTAGTTTACAACATGTCTCAGCTATTTCAGTCTTGTGTATGTATCCAAGACAACTAAAATATTATTTTCACATAGAATCTTCCACATGAATGTTCACCTCAGAGTTATTCATAATAACTAAAACTGGAAACCACCCAAATGTCCTTCAGTGGATCAAAGGTTAAAAAATTATGGCATATCCATACAAATGAAAACTAGTCATCAATAAAAAGGAATTAAGTATTGGTACATGCAAGAACTTGGATCCTATTCATGGAAATTATGCTAAAGAAAAAAAGTCAATTGCACAAATATAAAAACCATTTGATTTTGTTTATATAACATTCATAAAACTACATAATTAGAGAGATGGAGAACCATTTAGTGGTTGGAAGGAGAGTTAGAGATGAGAGAAAAGAAAAAAATGTAGCTACCATGGGGTCATGTTAGACAACCATGTAGTGATGATACAGCTATGCACTGTCATTGTGATAGTTGTACATAAATCTAAACTGTGATAAAATTGCATAGAACACACACACACACACACAAACACACAGACACACAAATGAGTGTAAATATACTGGAGAAATCTGATTAAGGTCTCTGTATTTTACCAATGTTCATTTCCCAGTTTTGACATTGTACGACAGATTTGTAGCATTTTAACATTGGTGAAAGATGAGCATAGGTTAATTTATTCTTCTTTTAATTTACTTATGTATATATTTATTTCAACTACTTTTTTCTTCCTAAATTAACTGAAACTACTTTCTTCAGTATCATCTATCAATAAAGTACCCCAAATTCTAAGTTGTGGGAACAAGGAAACTCATTCTTAACAACCTCTTGGCATATATTTTTTCTTGATCTTTAACTCCTATTGTCTTTAACTCCTATGCTCTTAAGTTGCCATATTAAGATATTCATACATCTAGTTATATGCCACTTCAGCATATTTGACATATGAATCCATTCCTCAAGTATTTATTCAGGTATAAAATTCTAATAGTAAAAGAAAGGTTTAGTAAAAACAAATATATTTATTCATGACTTTCATCAAATCAATTTAAAAATATTCATTGCTACAGACTATTCATATGCTGTAGGCATGAACAATTTAATGATTTTTCTGTTTTGATATTACAGTTAACTTTAAAGATTGAATTTGATTGTGAATTGGGATATCACAGTAGGTGACGTCCTTGGAATACACAGACTATATAATAAAACTACAATGTTTTCTATAATTTAACTACACTTACATAGAAAACTCTGCGTATAAATAGAAATATTCTGGGAACCCTGCTTAAAGTGAAGGGGAGGGCTTTTAAAATGTTTGTTTCTAGGTGAGAATTAAAACTATATAGAAAATTTTGGTTGGCAGAAAGATTTAGAGCTGTCTGGCTCTAGATCCAATTTAGTAGTCGCTAGTCACAGTGGTCATTTAAATTTAAATTAAATAAGGTAAAATACAGTTGAAATTTCAGTTCCTTAGTTGCATTATCCACATGTTGGGTGTTTGATAGTTATACAGGACAGCAAAGATGTAGATCATTTCTATGAGAGCAGAAAGCTGTATTGAAACACAGATTCAGAGACTAACCTACTGAAAGCCAAAATCCATCATCGATACTTCCTCCTGGTGATGACATTGATGGATCACAATCTGGAGGAGCATAACCAGGATCACATTGACAATGGAAACGGTCATTGCAAATCTAAAACCAAAACAAACAAACAAAAAAAGCATTTATATACAACCAAAAATTAACTGCCTTATATGTGATTGTTAGTCAATGTAAATTTTAAAAATACTACCATTTAATATAAGGAGTTTTAAATTTAATATGAAAAATAATTTTAAAAATAAGAGGTAGTATAATAAATGTTCATGCAATATATTTTCAAACATCATAGAAGTATCTTCTTGTTTGTCTCTTACATTTCTAATAAAGTGAATACCATTCTTGATACAATTTAAATGCTTTTTATTGGAAGGGCATACAGATTACACAGAAAATTATTATTTTCCCATGTTTTTTGGCCACTTGTATGTCTTAGTTTCAGAAGTGTCTATTCAAGTCTTTTGCCCACTTGTTAATGGGGTTATTTGGTTATTTTGTTGCTGTTGCGTTGTTTGAGTTCTTTGCAGATTCTGGATATTAGTCCTTTGTTGGATTTATAATTTGCAAATGCTAGAAACCATAGAATGGTGTGAGTAAAAATTTATTATAAATTGTGTTGGACTTAAAAAAATAGTTGTGATGAGAACCAAATTTTATTTAAAAAAATAGGGGGGAAAGCCAAAATTTTAAGATGCTTGCTCAATCAGATACAGACACAAAAAATTTATATAGAAAGCTAGAAAAAAATGTAAAAATGTGATCTGGCAGACAAATGGAAAAAGGGCCAGTAGAGAATTCAGAAATAAATGCATGCAAAATTCATTATGAAAGTCAATTAAAACTATGTAAGAAAGAAAAGAAACTGTAAATAGTAGATGTGTAAGTAATTTTGGGGAAAAATTGATGTAAACCACACAGGCAGGCCACTTTTTTCCTGAATTACTATAAAAAAAAGAATCATCAATATGGCAGAAGACACTGACCGCAAGGAGACAAATGCATGCTCAGAATGACTTATAAAGTTTACAACATTTCTATAAGCCAGTAGATAAGTTTACAATAGATGAGCAGACAGAAATGCGAGTGGCAGATATGACCATACATACTTAGGAACTGTGTTATTAATTATCAAATAAACGCAAATTAACAATGGACTTAGCATGTTAAAAGAGACTAAAAAGATTAATACAACTAATCTGGCCAGAATATGAGGAAATGCACATTTTCATACATGATAGGTGGGAGAAAAAACTGGTATAATGTTTCTTGATGACAGTATATTAATTAGAAAAATTCAAATTGTGCATGTGTTCAGCCCAAACAAATTTTATTTGCTAATAATTTAAGAAAGCATATCAATGTGCAAAGGTAAATTTACAATCATATCTGTTGTACCACTATTTGTAATAATTAAGCTAAAATTTAACATTAATTGAAAGGCCATCAGTGAATGGCATTTCAAATATAGTATGGATGAACCATATAGTGAAATAAGTTGAAGCTGTTGGGTAATGAAACATATCTTAATGGATTGAAAACTCTGATATCATAAATCAATGTGCATAACAGTGTGTGGATGTTCATAAATATTATGTAAGTACACATACACTCAATTATAAACAATATATATATGCATAAAAGTATAAGTATAGTCCTTAATGAATCTATTTCCAAAATTTAATAATCTTAATCTAATATCATAATAATGGATTCTGTTTCATGGTGCATTTTTTACAAAGTATAAACTTATTTGCTCATGAGGCCTATAAAAATCTGATTATATGCATAAATAATATGTATGTATAAAATAGTGGATCTACTTTCCTTATTTAATGACAATTTTCAACAAGAAATTTTCACATCTAATACTTGTGAACTTTGTTATTATCATAGAACATGTTATTGACATAGATTAAAATAATTATACTGAGAAAAATAGTAACTGTTACATACCCCATTCGGTCCACAATTTGTAGTACATTTTGTTATATTTAGTTCACTAAGATATCTGCATCCACGAGAATGACATACCTAAAATGTTACAAAGCAAACAACAACAAAAATACTAAATGTAAAGTCAAGAGATAAGGAATCATATTCGTACAAATATTATATGCACAGGAGATATACAGAACAGATGAATCTGAATTTCATAACATTTTAATAAAAACTGTAGGAACAATTCTAAATGGTATGTTATTACTTAATAAGAAATATTACAAATGAGATATTTTCAGAAAGCAGAAATATACATTTTTATTGCAAACTGGTACAAGAAAAAAGTAGCCAGCTTGTACTAGCAATTTTTAATTTATAGGACCTCTTTTAACACTTTTTATGCACCTTTCTTTTATTTGCTCATATAGACCCTTAGAAGGAGATATTTTTATGCTCATTTTGTATTTGAGTAGTACGGTGGCTGTGTCAAATGGTGGGTCTGTATTTAGTACTTTGAGAAATCTCCATACTGTTTCTCAAAGAGGTTGTACTAATTTACATTCCCAACATCAGTGTATAAACTTTCCTTTTTCTCCACATTCTTGACATCTATTGTTTTTTGACTTTTTAATAATAGACATTCTGACTTGTGTAAGATGGTATCTCGTTAAGGTTTTACTCTGATAGTTGGTGCTGTTGGGCACTTTTTCCCATGTTTTTTGGCCACTTGTTTGTCTTAGTTTCAGAAGTGTCTATTCATGTCCTTTGCCCACTTGTTAATGGGGTTACTTGGTTATTTTGTTGCTGTTGCGTTGTTTGAGTTCCTTGCAGATTCTGGATATTAGTCCTTTGTTGGATTTATAATTTGCAAATATTTTTTTCCATTCTGTAGGTTATCTGTTTACTCTGTTGTTTCATTTGCTGTGTAGAAGCTTTTTAGTTTAATTAAGTCTCATTTGTCTGCTTTTGTTTTCATTGTGTTTGCTTTTGAGGACTTGGTCATGTATTCTTTGCCTGGGCCAATGTCCAAGAGTTTTTTGTAGGTTTTCTTCTAGGGTGTTTATGGTTTCAGATCTTACGTTTAGGTCTTTAATCCACCTTGAGTTAGTTCATGTATATGCTGAGAGGAATGGGTCCAATGTCATTCTTCTGCATATGCTATTCAGTTTTCCCAGCACCTTTTTGAAGATAGTCCTTTCCCCAATGTATGTTCTTGCTGGCTTTATTGAAGATCAACTTGATGTAAATATGTGGATTTCTGAGATCTCTTTTCTGTTCCATTGATCTATGTGTCTATTTTTATAATTATATCTTGCTGTTTTGGTTACCATTGGATTGTAGTGTAACTTAAAGCTAAGTAATGTGATGCTTCCAGCATTGTTCTTTTTGGTTAGGATTACTTTGACTAATCAAGCTGTTTTTGTGTCATATAAATTTCACATTTTTTATTTCTGTGAAAAATGACATTTTTATTTTGATAAGGATTGCATTGAATCCTTATCCTGTAGATTGTTTTGACAAGTATGGTCATTTTGATGATATTGATTCTCCCAATCCATGAGCACAGGATGTTTTCCCGCTTGTCTGCATCATCTGTAATTTATTTTATTTATTTAATTCAGTGTTTTGTAGTTCTTGTAGAGATCTTTCTCCTCCTTGGTTAAATATATTCCTAGGTATTTAATTTTATTTTTTGGTAGCTATTGTAAATGAGACTGTCTTCTTGATTTTGTCCTTGGCTAGATCATTATTGGTATATGGAAACACTACTAACATGTGTCTATTAATTTTGTATCATGAAACTTTATTAAGCTCATTTATCAAATCTAGAAGTTTTTTTTTGGTGGAGTCATTAGGGTTTTCTAGACAAAAGCTCAATCATCAGGAATAATTTTACTTCCTCTTTTCCAGTCTGGATGACTTTATTATTTTCTCTTGCCTTATTGTTTTGGTGAGGACTTCCAGTTAAGTAAGAGTGATAAAAGTGGGCATCTTTACCTTGCTTTAGTTCTTGCAGGAAATGCTTTCAATTTTTCCTTGTTAAGTATAATGTTGGTTGTATGTTGGCTGTATGTTTGTTGTAGATTGCCTTTATGATGTTGAAGAATGTTCCTTGTATGTTGAGTTTATTGCAAATTTTTATCCGAAGAGATGCTGAGATTTATACAGTGATTTCTCTGCATCAATTGAGATTATCATATGGTTTTTTTTCCTTTCATTCTGTTGATGTGATGGATCGAATTTTTGATTTGCATGTGTTGAACCATCTTTGGATCCCTGGGATGCATCTCACATAATCACGATGTATTATGTTTTTGATGTGCTGTTGGATTTGATTTGCTAGTATTTTTTGAGGACTTTTGCATCGATGTTTTCCAGAGATATTGGTCTTTACTTCTTTTTATGCCTTTGTTTGGTTTTAGTATCAGATGATACTGGCCTTGTAGTATGAGTTAGAGAGACTTTCCTCTTCCTTGATTCTTAAAAATTGTTTCAAAAAGATTGGTATTTTCTAATTATTATTATATTAGTCTAATTATTAGTTATTCTATTCTGGAGGTAGAATTGGGCAGTGAATCCATATGGTTGTAACCTTTTTCTTGTTCTTGGGATAATTTTTAATTACTGATTCAATTCTCACTAGTCATTATTGGTCTCTTTGGGAGTTGTATTTCTTCCTGGTTCAATCTTGGTAGGTTTTATGTTTTCAGGAATTTATCTATTTCCTCTAGCTTTTCTAGCTTGTGAGCATAAAGTTGTTCATAATAGTTGCTAATAATCTTTTGTATTTCTTTGGTGAGTTACAATGCCTGCTTTTTTATTCCTCATTTTGTTTGTTTAGATCTTCTATCTTTTCTTCTTCTTTAGTCTAGCTGATGGTGATAGGGACAGGGGGCAGAGAAATCATAGGCAGAAGAGGGTGGGTCCCTGGCAAAGCCCCACCCTCAAGCCGAAAAGCCTGAGACCGCAGCCCAAAGTGAGAACTCATAACCCTGTTTTCCCGCTCAAATGCTGCCTTTTCCTAAACATCCAAGGCCCACCCCACTCCCTCACCCTGTACCTATAAAGACCCCCAGACTCAGCCAGCAGAGAGAAGCAGCTGGACACTGGGGACTACAGCCGGACATTGGAGATAAGTGGTTTGACTTCAGAGGGGCAGCTTGACGGTGTAACTTTGGAGAAGAGTCCAGCTGGAGATGGCCTGACTTGAGGGGATGATTACCTGCCCGTCCCCTTTCCAGCTGCCCTTTCCACTGAGAGCCATTTTCCCTGGCAATAAAATCTCTCGCATTTACCATCCTTCAATTCGCTTGAGCGACCTCATTTTTTTCTGGATGCCAGGCAAGAGCTCAGGAGCCACGAGTGTGGATACAAAAGGCTGCCACACTGGCCCTTTGCCCTCGCTGGCAGACGACATCTGCCGGCCCATTGAGCTGTTAACACTTAAGCCATCTGCAGACTGCAGAGCTAAAAGAGCACTGAAACATGTCCTCTGGAGCTTCAAGGGTCGCAGGCACCCCCCTTAGATGCTGCTGTGGGGCCCTCAGGGAGTTTGTTTCTACCACACCCAAAAGCACTTGCTCCGGCTCCTTTACCCGCTCACCTGTACGCTCCCTCCTGCGAGGGGTGGAATGCAGCAGGTCCCAGAGAGTGGAGTTCACTCCTGCCAGCACCGCAGTGGCTGGCTGGTTTCTGGGCTCCTGTACTCCAGTTCCCGCCTCCTTTGCTCCTGTGCTCCCTCCCGCGAGGAGCTGAGAGCAACAGGCTGAGTCAACAGGGCACCCCTGTCGTGAATCCCGCGAAAGGGTTGGGGAAATATCCTGCTTCAGTAGTGTATCAATTTTATCTTTTTGAAGAACAAACTTTTTGTCCTGTTGATCCATTGGGTTTGTTTTGTTTGCTATCTGTTTAGTAATGATGGACCTCTCTTCTCACTCTGTTAGTTCTCATGAGAGCTGGTTTTTTTTTTTTTTTTTTTCCAAAGGAGTCTAGAACTTCCCTCCTCTCTCTCTTGCTTCTTCTCTCACCATGTGATCTCTGCACATACCAGTTCCCCTTCTCTTTCCACCAAGAGGAAGCAGCCTGAAGCCCTCACCAGAAGCAGATGCTGGCACTGTGCTTCTTGTTCAGTCTGCAGAACTGTGAGCCAAATAAACCTATTTCTTTTATAAGTTACCTAGTGTTAGTATTCCTTCATAGCAACCCAACAACTGACTAAGACACATTAAATCTCACAAGCTAAGGGGCTTCGTCCCTCAAGACTGGCCCCATATCAGGTGCAAGTATTAGGTAAGCCATACTTCTGACAGACCAGATAAAAATTGGGGGTTCTCATGATACCCTCCACAGTGTAACAATGTTAGAATGGCTCACAGAACTCAGGAAAATACTTTACTTATATTTAATGGTTTATTATATAAGATACAACTCAAGAACAGCTACATGGATGATATATTTAGGGCAAGGTATTGGAGGAGACAAGAAGAATTTCCATGCTTTCTCCAGCTGCCCCACACTCCCAGCAAATTTACATGTAATAAACCTAGAAGATGGTTGAATCTCTTTTTTCAAGGGTTTTAATAGAGATCAATTTCCAGCCCTGCCTCTCTTCTTCCAAAAGGCCAGTGAGTCAAGCTGAAAGCCCCAACCCTCTAATCACTTGGTCATCCTGATAACCAGCCCTGTTCTAAGGCCAGCTGGGGGTCCCACCCTAAATCACTTGATGGAAATAAGCACAATTTCAGGTGTGACTGAAATGTGTTTATTCATTCTCAAGAACAAAAAACACTCCCATCGCTTAGGAAATTCCAAGGGTTTTATTAGAAGCTGTGTGTCAAGAGTCAGAGACAGAAACCAAACATGTTCTGCATTATGCTATATATATTATATATATAAAAAAGATAAAATTAGTATATTTTTTATATATAAAAGATGCAATTAGTTAATATATTTAAGTATTTATGCTTCTGTATTTATAGTAAATATTTTTTCAGTTTGTTTTATATGGTCTTTGAAGGGATGAGCCAAGGTCTACGGTGTATGATAGTAGTCGAGGGTCGTGAGTGTGTCCGTCTGAGTTGAGTTCTTGACTG